TCATATCTTACACCGACTGCTGTCTCCCTTCTCCCGCGGTTTCCCGCCCCCCCCTCTCCTGACCTTCGCTAAAGAATTTTTATATGTGTTTTTTATAGTCATGGAATCTATTCCAATAGATGGTGACTCTATATAAGGTTTCTGGGACTATAAATCTTTGATTTCATCTGCCTCCCTCTTAGGAGCCCTGTGGCATACTGGTTACACATTGGGTTGGCTAACCACCAGGTCAGCAGTTCTAAACCACTAGTCACTCTTTGGGGGAAAGAATGGAGCTTTCTACTCCCGTAAAGAATTGTAGTTCTTGGAAACTCACCGGGCAGCTTAACCCTGCCTACAGGTTCGCTGAGTTGAAGTGACTTGATGGTAGTGAGTTTGGTCTGGCTTTAGTCTCTCTCTTACCGTTTGTACTCACTGACAATAGTTTCCAGGGTAGTGGAAACAGCAGGATGTAAAAGTACTGATGAATTTTGTTCGGAATTAACATCTCGTGACATTCATGTTTAAACTTCCTACAGATGATTTTAGACCTACCTCAACAATGCTTGCTATTTTGCCTACATTAGAAACCTATTAGAAAACTAGACTCAGTGCAACTATGCCTTAGTTGAAACGGCAAAACTAGGGTGTAGCTGCCATCAGGCAACTCATTACTTTAGTAAATGCTTTTTTTCTAAGCACAAATCCTACCTGATGGAGTAGATTCTACAAGATCAGAAAATGGCAAGATACACAGAATCTTATTGCTTCCGCTATGGTAAAACTGTTCTTCCTTTTTTCTATGCAAAGTAAAGTCTTACAACATTTTGGGCGATTACATTGTTAGATTATTATAAATTAATAGAATAAATCATTAATAAATATTACTATGATAAACAATAATGAGATGAAAGCCATCACAGGAAGTACCAAAACCAGAAAGAATACACCAATAAATAGCAAAAAGATATATTCATAGAAATTCCATTTAAAAAAAAAAGAAGATGTTTACATGATGGGTTTTAGTGGCCTGGACATAATGATTTATTTAATGGGAATAACGTTTTTCTCAAAAAAGAAACATCCCTGGGGGACGGACAACCGAGGAGTGGGTGAAGGGAGACGTCGGACAGGGCAAGATATGACAAAATAACAATTTATAAATTATCAAGGGCTCATGAGGGAGTGG